TTTATTGTGAAGTGTACGTACCCAATAAAATATACTTATTCAAGACAAATATTTCCAAAATTATTAAAAATTCGAGGGTATTATAGTAATTAACACAAAGGGTCAATTACAAGTCTTCAGAGTCTACAAAGAGAAGTGAAACCGAAGAAGACAAGGGCATTTTCGTCTTTCCACATTCCTTCTCCTCCATTTGTACCCAGCACTCTCTGTCCAACATATAAAACCACGACTCTTGCAGAACTAATAATTCACAGACAACACGGACAGAGATAGGTGGAAGATAAAACAGAAGGCTCTCTTTCACATCAATGGCGACCGTGAACCGTACGGACGCAGAGAAGTCGACGGAGGATCGCGAGGGGTGCACCGTTGAAGAAGTAGCTCTGGTTGTGCCGGAGACGGATGATCCCGCCCTGCCTGTCATGACTTTTCGAGCATGGTTTCTGGGTTTAACCTCGTGCGTCCTATTGATCTTTCTCAACACTTTCTTCACGTACCGCACGCAGCCGCTCACCATCTCCGCTATTCTCATGCAAATCGCCGTCTTGCCCATTGGTAGGTTCATGGCCAGGACCCTGCCCAGGAGAGAGTACAGTGTTCTTGGCAGGAGGTTTAGCTTGAACCCAGGGCCGTTCAACATGAAGGAGCATGTTATCATTACTATATTCGCTAACTGTGGAGTGTCTTTTGGTGGGGGTGATGCGTACTCGATTGGTGCCATTACAGTAATGAAGGCTTATTATAAGCAAAGCTTGAATTTTCTATGTGCGCTACTCATCGTCCTCACAACACAGGTTACTTTCTCACTTTTCTTCTTCCTTTAAGAAAGTTACAGGTCTTTTTGTTGTGGAAAATGGGAAGAGTGAAATATAAATCTAAGGCAGATATGGAAAGTTAATTTTTTTAGTTTAGTGTAAAATTCATGTGCCATCGATACTGTAACTTGTTTTGAAATTAACGAGCTTTTCTTTTTGAAGTTAGTGCATTGATGGCTTTTTTTTTCCGGATAGTGTGTAAATTTTTAACAGTTATAATCTCAGTGGACCCATTTAGTTTCAATTTTGAAGTCTTTTTATCTCTTTAGATTTTCTTTTCAAGAACAGATGAGTCTCCCACTTGTTTCGGATATTTACATAAGAATTATTGTCGACTTGTTTGGTTCTCTGTAAAGTTCAGGCTGTTTTTTTTTTTTAATTGAGAAGTTTAATTATTTGTTTTCTTTTTATTGCAGATATTGGGATATGGATGGGCTGGGATGCTGAGGAGGTACTTGGTTGATCCTATCGAGATGTGGTGGCCTGCAAACCTTGCTCAGGTTTCTTTGTTCAGGTCTGTTTTTCTCCTTTGGTCTTCCCAGTTTCCTGTTTGGTTGGTGAGAAAAACGATGGAAAGGAAAAGAAAATTTGAACATTTGAATCTTGGACTCTTTTTTTGTTATGGGGCCCGCGTTAACAAAAAGCACAGCTTTACATCTGGTAATTGAAGTCAACTAGGACTAGTAGGGCTGGATTTTCTGAACTGAGTTAGATAGATTAGGCTTCAAGGGAAATATTAACACTTGCAGACTGTTCATATCGTGAGCAAAGTGCCACCTTTTCTCCTTCTAGATTCTTGTTTGAAAATTTTCTTGGCAAATGGCAGAGTGCATGTTCACTGGTACAGAATCTGCCAAAAAAGGCTGTTTTGCCTGGTTGATGTAGGGTTCTCTGTATGGGCAAGAAGCATAAAACAAAAAGTATATAATATTGTTATCCAGTTGATGATGGAAGGACTTTCTTACTTTTATTTGTGGTTTACAGGAAGAATTTGACTGTGGTTATATTCTCAGAATATCATGGCAACAGGGAATTATTTGGGTCTGGATTACTGACTCTTTTATCAATTCGAGTTGAATTGATTCGATTCTCGGATTGATTGAGTTGGGTTCATAGGTTCAATCAAATCTTAGATCAAACAATCTTTATGAAATATTGGGTTCCTTGTCTTGATCAAGTTAAGAACTTTATTATTGCAGGGCACTTCATGAGAAGGATGACAAATCAAAAGGCTTGACAAGGATGCAATTTTTCCTGATTGTTCTCACAGCAAGCTTCTTGTACTATGCACTCCCTGGCTATCTGCTCCCAATCTTGACATTCTTCTCATGGGTCTGCTGGGTATGGCCTCATAGCATTACAGCTCAGCAGATTGGTTCAGGTTACCATGGACTAGGGATTGGTGCTCTTACCCTTGACTGGGCTGGGATTTCAGCTTACCATGGCAGTCCACTGGTTTCCCCTTGGTCTTCAATCCTCAATGTTGGGGTTGGCTTTATCATGTTTATATACATTATTGTACCATTATGTTACTGGAAATTCAACACCTTTGATGCCAGAAAATTCCCCATATTCTCTAATCAGCTCTTCACCACAACTGGGCATAAATATGACACAACCAGGATCTTAACCCCACAGTATGAGCTTGATGTTAGTGCTTATAATAGTTATGGGAAACTCTATCTAAGCCCTTTGTTTGCCCTGTCAATCGGGTCGGGATTTGCAAGATTTACAGCAACCCTTACTCATGTTGCTCTTTTTAATGGCAGGTATGCCGTTTCACTAAAAGCAATCTACTGCATTTTTTATTTCTTGGATGGTTGCCTTCATTCTTGTTGCTAATCTTGGTCAGCCGAGTTACATACTTTTTGTTTTGTGCAGAGATATTTGGAGGCAGAGCAAATCAGCAATGAAGAATGTGAAATTGGACATCCATTCAAGACTGATGCAAAGTTATAAAAAAGTGCCTGAATGGTGGTTTTTTATTCTGTTAATTGGAAGCATAGTGTTATCCCTGATCATGTCTTTTGTGTGGAAAGAAGATGTGCAGCTGCCATGGTGGGGGATGCTCTTCGCTTTCTTCCTAGCTTGGCTTGTTACACTTCCCATTGGAGTCATCCAAGCAACCACTAACCAGGCAAGCAGCTCAACTTTCTGATCTTTTTTAAACTGTGAACACATTTTGGCAATGTTGTGTATAAGACTACCTATTCTTGGTTGCAGCAACCTGGATATGACATAATAGCACAGTTCATAATTGGGTATATTCTACCAGGAAAACCCATTGCAAACCTGCTTTTCAAGATCTATGGCAGAATCAGCACAATCCATGCTCTCTCTTTCTTATCAGACCTTAAACTAGGGCATTACATGAAAATTCCACCGAGGTGCATGTATGTAGCCCAGGTATCTGCGCATAAGAAATTTATACATCAAAACCGTTAAAAAACATTCCCTTTGGGTTATAAGTAAATGACATTGTGGGTTTTGGTCCCTCCTCTTCAGCTTGTGGGGACTTTAGTTGCAGGTACTGTTAACTTGGCAGTGGCATGGTGGATGCTTGAAAGCATTGAGAACATCTGTGATGTTGAAGCACTGCATCCTGAAAGCCCATGGACATGCCCTAAATACAGAGTCACCTTTGATGCATCAGTAATTTGGGGCTTGATTGGACCACAACGGCTATTTGGACCAAAAGGGTTGTACAGAAACCTGGTTTGGTTGTTTCTCGTTGGAGCTTTCTTGCCTGTTCCTGTTTGGATATTAAGCAAAATATTTCCTGATAAGAAATGGATTCCCTTAATAAATATTCCTGTTATATCATATGGGTTTGCCGGTATGCCACCAGCTACTCCAACAAACATTGCAAGCTGGCTTATTACCGGCACCATCTTCAACTTCTTTGTGTTCCGATACCACAAGAGGTGGTGGCAGAAGTATAACTATGTTCTATCTGCAGCACTTGATGCTGGGACAGCTTTCATGGGAGTGCTGTTGTTCTTTGCTTTGCAGAATGCAGGACATAACCTGAAATGGTGGGGAACAGATATTGATCACTGCCCCCTGGCAACATGTCCTACCGCACCTGGCATTGTAGTTGACAAATGTCCTGTTCATTGAAGATGTGATGCCAGCCAAGGTAGAGATTGTTTTGGTCTTAGGAGTATAAGGAGAAATATCCTGAAGATGGGTATAGAGAAAATTCTATGACTCAGCTTGTTTTGTTCTTTTTCGCAAAATTTTGTACATTTTTGGTTAATCAAAATGAAGATGTTCTTCTTCTGGGTCTAACAGCAGAAATTTACTTCTGCCAAAACAATTTGGCTGTTTGTTGTACTTGTCAATCCTTGACCATTGAATAAGATACTATACCTACTTCACCTCAAGTATTTTGGTTTATAATACTATACCTACTTCACCTCAAGTATTTTGGTTTATAATTTCACTAGCTTTCCTATTATACATTGAGAAATCTGAGAGACAATATATAAAGAGATGAGTTAAAACGAATCAAGGAAAATCAAGTGTAGACAAGCGACTTTGAAGAGATCCTAGTAGGAAAAATTTAGCATTGCCAAGTCAAAAACTACCCCTTGAACAAGTAGATAAATGGTTGGATAAATAGTCATCCCGGGCATTATGTAAAATACAGGCGACGTTTTCATATGATAATGCCTTTCAAAGTTAACTTAAGCCATTGGCATAGCACCTACCTCCTGGTAATTATTTTAACTACAGAGGGACCAAGGACTAATACCCATTACAACAATTGTGTTACCTCTGCAAGGACTTGTAGAGAACAACTGTCACATACTTGGAAAGAAATCGATCTGTTGAACCAAGTGCTACTACAGAGGGGCTGTTCTTCCCTTTCTGCATGTAAAGATGATTAAGGATCACATGCTGAGGTCTTGACAAAGGAGGTGGAATCTCCATGGCACCTGATGGCATATTAAGCAGCGTCATCTGAAGGTGAGGAGGAACCAGGGGTGGCTCCTTTGCAAAATCCTCCGGTCCAAGTTGTAAGTTTGTGTAACATGAATCTGGAGATTGAGGTGGCTCAAAGCTGGATATGCTTTCCAGATCTTCTGGAACATAATCCTGCAGATCAGTCAAAAAGAGAGTTATTTGTGGCATGAATTAGTGTCATCATGTAATTGAGGTTGCTGTAACCTTGAAAAAGCG